TTTCAGTAACTTTACATTCTCAGTTTATGGGGTAAATTTCAGTGGGCTTATATGTTTTATACTACTTTTGTATTCTTCTGAACATAATCATGGAAGATTGAAGGTTTCCATTGCTCCAATACAGAAGTGGCAGGTAACCAAATTTAACAGAGCAAAAAGGTTTGCCTTCAAATGAAAAATCGATGCCGTCTTYGAAGCAAACTTTGCTTCAACAACATAAAAATACCAAAGCGATTTAAACTTAGTGATTGAAAACACTTTAAGCCCCATCTTGAAGTCTGTTTTCAGATTCTCAGTTGAGAGAAAAAAAACATATTTTTTTTTAAATAAACAATGGCAAGGATTAAAAGATGACCCCAATTCCTAGACCATAACACTCAGATGTCTCCCATTCCTAGAACCTAATATGTGATGCTAATACCAGTTTGTTTTGTGCCTCATAGAGCCAAACTTCCTTTCTGGAGGTATGCTCCTTGTTTTAGCATCATTTGCTACACTGAAAAGTGGTTGTGAGCACTAATGTTTTAAAACCCTTTGCATACTAAGTAACCCTGATCTTCCAAGCACACATGAAGCTGAAATCCCCTCCTTATTCTCACCAATTTTCTATGAAATGTCACTTTGAAAAAAACGTGTGAGCGAGAGAAATACAGAAAGTCATTSCCTGTACCCCGTAGGCTAATACAGTCAACCAAACAAGAGAAATGGAGGTTTAAAGTCATGCCTCAAGGGTTAATTATACACATTAGRGAGTCATTAAATAAAAAACACAGGCAATCTTAGAAACAAGGGTTTGAACTCAAACCTCCCTCTCTCAGATGAATGCCCTCATCTTTGAGTTAGACAGCTGTATTCCTTCTCTTGCTAATGAAATAAATTCTAGCAGCAGTTTCAACTAGAGGAGGAAAGTGAGGTGCAGTATCTTAGTCCTGTCCGAAATATCTATCAGATAGATGCTCAGGGTGGTCTTCTGTGAGATGCCAGCTGTGAGGCTGAGGAATTAAACTGAATATGACAAGCTCAGCTACTGCCTCAATCGCAGAACTATTGTTTAAAAAGGGGCTGAGTAGCAGTTCCTCTGCCAGCTGTTTTTCAAAGGAGCAAGTCTTTTTCTGCTTTAGTAGCACTACTTTGAAAGGCATCTTCTGAAAAGATCTCTATCTGTAAGACTGCCATTCTCATATTTGCCTGACACAGGTGTCTTCTCATGTACAGTGGTGGCCTTCAAAAAGGGCTCATCCTCACCACCTCCTGTTCAGAGGCCCTTCATTCAGCTTGCTGACTGCCGTCAACCTCATTCACAGACTCAGATCTCCTTACCTGAAGCCTAACTTCAAGCCTCTCTGACTCTGCTCTGTGAGACAAGCACCTAAAAATGCGGCACTGCAACATCTAAGTCGCTTTAWGAGCTTCAAACCTTCAGGTCTCTCAGGAAGAACAAAAACTCTCCACTTTACTGTACGAAGAATAATGTTACAGATCTGTATATGTTTCTTTACTAATCCCATAAGAAAATCTACAATGCTACAGCTGGAAATTTAATCAGATTTTTTGAACACTGMTGGAAAGACAAAGAGGACCTCTTGCTTTGTGCTATGAATGACCACTATTTTGCATGGTGAGCAGCAGCAATTTATTTGCACGGTAATGAACATATAATTACAAAGTACAAACAGTAACTGATTATTATTATTTCAATCCCCTGCAGTGGAGAATAGATGGCAATTATTTTATGGACCTATCATACTAAATATAACTAGTAGGATCCACCACTGTATGCATATGCTGGAAAAGCAGAGGAGATGTTACTGTATTTGTTTATTACCTAACACTTTATTCCCAATTAAATGTTACAAATAAAATATTTCAGAAGAACATCTAAGGATCCACAGACTTACTAAAAACATGTCTAGAAAGTTAAAAATTTTAGCCTTTCTACAGTATTATTAATCGGCCATCCTGAGCTACATTCATTCTAACTTTGACTGCATTAATTGCCAGGAAATCAACCCCTTTTCCATGAGTTGCTGATTGTGTATTTATGTGATATTCATTAATTAAAATTCTAATTTTGTATTGATTTGAACACATAAGTCTTGCCCATGGTCTTGGGGCATAAGTCCATTTCCCAAGCGTCATTTTTGTGCCCACTGCTTTGAAGCATTTATCCTTCCAAAATGTACTGCTTATGAACTAGCTCATTGCTGAACCATCTCATCTTCAAAAAAAAAGGCATTTTGAGAAAGACAGATGTTGGGAAAGTTGCAAGTTTGTCTTCATTTTTACTCTCATGGTCACACTCAAATTGTGCTTGATGGCACAAATGTCATGAGCTTGAAAATAGCCCACACTTCTTCTTTCTTTGCACAAAACTTCATTGAATTTTCTCAGCAGAGACTGAGAAATTCCCAGGAAGAACACTGGGAAGATCATGCACAATATCTCAAATATCTCCTTAAGGAAGAGAACCACATAGGTAGAGATACTCCCTTTCCTTTGATCATCTCTAATGTCTGTGGAGCTCTGTCTTCACTCTCCGGCTGCTCAACCCCACCAACATCAGCCTTTCTGGGACGCTCCAGCCAATACTGTTGGCCTGTTTCATAAGAAGGAGAGGCAACTATGAGAACTTTTAAGGGGAATTTTCAGCAGCAACTGGATTCATTGTAGGCAATGAGAGGAACACGCATGGATACGTATATTCTCTGCAAATGTCACCAGCTTTTCACCACCAGGCCTTGTCAGAGAAGGCTGGAAAAAGACCAACAGCATGAGTTGCCTCTTCTTTGCAAAGAAGCAAGCACCGAGGGATTCCTGGGGATTCTGTGTTAGTTTGCAGCAAATTCACACRCAGCTGCTAAGGGCACCAAACTGAGAAAAAAACCCTCTTACTGATCAGAAAGAGCACAAAATGGCACCTGTTGGATGTGCTCGCTGCATGTACCTTGCACTAATTTGCTTGCCCTTCGTACTTGAGTTAGCTATTGTTTCTCAAGTGCTAAATGAGCGAGAGGAATGACTCAAACGTCATGTTAATTACAGTCTTATTATAGAATCATCATCATTTTTTCTGGTGGAAAAGGAAGGAAAACAAACCAAAACGCTATTTTCAGGTTTCAGCTTGAGTTGTTTTAAACTGACTGAAGATCATATGGGGTCTCTTTGATTTAGTGGGAATCTGAACCTTCATAAATGAGCAAACTGTGAACCCCTATAATTGCTGTTACTGTGAAACACAGGCTAATTTTATGTCCACCAATCTGCTGGAACATTTCTCTGCTATTATTAGCAGTCTTTGCAATGTTTTTTTCAATATAAGTAGATATGAAATCAGTCTGCGACTATTTTAGTTACATTCAATACATGCAACTGCTCTCAGAACAGCAATTGGTAATTTCTGGGGTGGAGAACAGAACTAATCCTATAATCTTAGCAAATAAATAAAAACACAGCTCTRGCTTCTTTGGAAGCTGTACCCTTATTTATCAGCTGGCTGTCAATCCCAACTCTGTAATTACACTATTTGTTGTGGCTATTTTTCAAATCTGTGCAGTTCCTTTGGAGAAATGCAGTGCTTTAACTTAGCAGCTATTCTCTTCCTCTGGCCTGCTGTGAGGCCTTTATCATAATACTCATCATATGCTGGCAGCCACAATCTCATGCTCCCAAGAATGGCCCCATAGAAAGGCTAAGATGAATCTTCAGATGGCTCCTTAAATTTATTCCTTCCCTCTCTTGCTATTGTAAGTAAAGCAATAAGCTTTTCTTTTTCCTGATACCACCTTCTTCAATTCTGTTGGAAAGCATGAAGACAAAGGATGGAGAAAGCTTTGCAGTGACAGCTTTTTAACACTGAATAATCTACTGCTGTGCATGTTAATAGATGGTGCTACGTTTGATTAACTAATTTTGCAACTGAATATCTAAGTAAATTGTATTTGCTGATTGTTTCCAATAATTCTTTCTCTGTAATTTCCTCTTTGCATAGYTATATGCTGATTGTTGCAGCTGACAATAACAATTCATAAAGAACCATGGGGTGTATATTCCATAGTAAATATATGCGGTATCATTGTACACAGAAAAGTCACTCCACTGCCTCCTTTCCTATTTAAAGGTATCATCAAACTTTAAGGATTTTTTATTTTTTAATGTCAAAGTCACAGAGYAGTAATTTCCAATGTCATTTTATGGCTGGGTTTGAAAGACAGGCAGGTACTTAGTAAGTCAGCATGCCTTTAAGGTGGTTTTGAAGTGTGCAAAGTCAGACAGATATATATTTTAATTGCAAATAAAAAGCTAATTGGATGACGTATGAACAAAAAGTCCTACATTCCTGATAACATTTTTGCAGACTAATAAAGGAACGGCCCTGAGAACTTAAGTCTTTTCTTTTTTTCTTTTTTAATGAAAGTCAAATATTTTCCTTTAAACTGAAATATTACCAGATCATATATTGATGCAGAAATTTCTATGCTGCCTCCTACAATTATCAGAAAGTACACCATTCTTCCCGTACACCATTCTTCCCAAGAGGCTGCAGTCTTAACTTGTACTATGTATCATCATCTACAGAACACTACACACTATAGTAATCCTCCAATTACAGTATTTGGTCTCCTTTCTTCTCAGTCCCTCTGTCTCTAACCTTTTACTATTTTTACCAATTAGTATCTTCTGGTGTTTTGCCCAGACACATTTTCCATGTTTGTCTATCAATGTTTTTCCTTTTTTCCTTTCTTTTTTTCTCTTTAAAACCTACATTCATTCACTTTAGCATATGTTTATCTGACTTTAATGCTGGCAGGGGCTATATTAGTTTCCTCTCCACCCACTCATATACACACAGTCAGGTAACTCTCTCTGAAACCCCATAGCCATTTTTAAAGAGCAGCTGGTGACCTCCACCATTCGGCAACAGTGGGTACTAGAGAGGAGAGAAGAAGGAAGAGCACCTCTGAGCTGGAGCAAAGGGAAATGTAAATTACTGTTTCACTTACCGGTTTCTATTGCTGGATATCCAGTCAGAGATTAATGTTGCAGCCTGCTGGTGACAGTGTTTGTTACCAAAGCTGCAAGCCAACATGATGACTTCACGACGCAATTCTCTGCGCAAATTAAAGACAGCCAAAAGGCTGTATTAGTAAATGCATTTGATTCTTTACAAAAGGCATTTCCTAGAAGATAATGGGAGCAGCTGATAACATATATAACAGATAATCCAGCTATACAGATTTCGATGTCAACTAAGTGCCTTCTGCAGCTGCTACATCTGGAAACAAGTCACAGGCCAAAATCAGCCCTCATTTACAGTTATGCTGACTTCCTGACTTCCATGTTCACATGCGTCCAAGTTCTTAAATATTTAGTGCAGTCAAGTATTAAATTAAGGCTTAACGAATCATTTCTTGTTTGTAAACTCAAAGGAATCTTTTTTCAGAGCATTGTGCTGCTCTCCATAGTATCCAGTAAGGAAAAACAAAAGAAAGATAGAGCTAGGACAGTATCACAGGGAAATATAAGAATGTAACAGTGCTCATGTTGGTAGGGGGCTGAAGATCACACCAAATTTTAGGAGAGTGCTTTATTATAACTAGATCATGCAAAAAAAAAAAAAAAAGAAATAAAGAAAATAGGAAATATAACAATATAACAGTACTCATGTTGGTAGGATGCTTGAACAAGAGACTTGTTTAAATTATTCGTTGGCCATCCAAGCTTCAGATACATAGATGCAACTTGCCTTAAAATATACTCCTGGGGGGAAAAAATATATTCATTGTTATTACTAAGTTTTTATTTTTTACTCAAAGTTGAGATACTATTGACTACTGACTTTTTCCTTTTTCCCTTCCCCTGAAATAATGTCACATTTTCCAAAAGTTTGGATTCTCAGTTAATACATGCCCATACACAATCCTCCTTGATCTCTATAATGAGAAGTAATCTGTAGAACAGCTACTGGATTTGTAACATTGTGTTAGCCAACTTTTTTGTATGAAATACACCAATTAAAAAAGAGATCCTTAAGGACTATTTTGAACTCATTATACACGGTTGAAAACTTGCTAGAGTGTCAATAGGCTAATGTCTACCCTATGGCCAATCTCAAATACACTGTGCATGTTCACTGGTAAAAGAATATTGTTTTAATATCCACAGTAATGGCAAAAATGTTACAGAAGTGCAGACAATTGATTTCAGAATACTTAATAATGTGTGCTGCAAATGAGATTTGGATATGTCACGATACTCTATTTCAAGTATAGGTTCTTTGTATGCTTAAAAAACAAAATAAGCACAACATGCTTTTTAGATTACTTTTACTTTTTATATAGTAGACATATTTAAATACTCTGTTGGTTGTGCTGAGAACAGTCACAGTTGTTTTACTCACAATATTCTGCCAGAAGAATTCACATATTTGAAAAAGAGAACTGAAATATAAATGACTGCACAGAACATCTATTTTATTGTTACGGTGCATGAGCAAGTGTATGATGAGAAAAAGAGATTCATAGGGCATAACTTTCCATAGCAGATATGGTATTCTGTGACTAAAAGGACTTTTTATCTCCTCTACTATCACCTCTACTTTCAAATCTCTCACTGTTTGTGATAAAACACAATCCAGTAGTGAATTTTACTGTTTTTATTTATTAAAATAGCATTTTCTTTACACAGCCATGTTTGAAGTGGGAAATAGCAGTGGCAGACTCATATGATTTTTTCATAAGAATTTTAATGACAGACTAAAAATGCAAATTATTTCAATGTCATTTTATATTATGGTTGGCTGGTTTGCACRTACACCTAAATTGTAAGTTCATAAAGAAATACTTTAAATATGTCACTATTAATCCATAAAATATATGCTCCAAAAATAATTTTCTATGCTAGCAGGTAGCTCTGTATGTGTATATATGCATACCTAATTATATACACACATGCAGCCAGTCACAAAGCAGTCTAGATTTCTGCTTTGTGCCAAGTGCATGTCTATGTACACATGTCCACACACAAATGTATTTTAAGAACTTTTAAGTATTGCAATCTTCAGATAATTTCTTCATTTAAACAGCTGTATAAAATTCTATACAGTATTTTGACCATTCAACATGTGCCAACTACCTAAATCTCACTTCTTTATACATATTTTCACTCTTGGCAAGTAAATCCTGTGTCTTTTGTCCAACGTAGGTGCTTTTTGGTTTTTGTTGTTGTTGCTGTTGTTTTAGGGGTTTCTTTTTTAGATTTCAGGTAAAATGTCAAAATATTTGCCATGTCTATCTTAATTATCCCCTGCTTGCTGCTGCTGCTGTCCCTTCAGACCCAATTATGAATGGGCTTTTGATTCAATGGTGAACTAATCCTTGTTACTTACGGCAAGTATGTTGAATGGGTTTTTTTTTTGGTTAGAAATAATAACTAGAAATTTCTAATTCCTGCTATGCCTGCATTTGGTGTCCTTGTTGATAGGGGGCCTCAGTCTAAACAGAGCAACTGGGTTCCTCAAAAGAGAAAATTTGGTAATGGATTATTTTGGCTGTTTTATTAAGTTCAACAGTTTATTTGTCACAATATTTTATAGGGGGAATAGCTACCTTTCCTTTTACTAATAATATATGCCTGAAACAACAGTTAGCACTATTCAAATGCAAACGAATCAAAGCTTGAAGAAAAGCTATGTTTAAATACAGAATAATTAGCAAGAAAGTTAATATCTTTAGGTCAGCAACAGTATCTAACGGAGACAGTTCATCTCCTGCCAATGAAAGAAAGAAAAACAAGCACACAAGAGAGAAAGAAAAGGGAGACAGAATATATATCTCTTACATTGAAGATGTTGTAGTTTTCCGTGCGGTCCAGCAATTTGTCTAGAGGATAAAGAGCGCGGCTGGCAGCATGCCAAGGCAGAAAATCCTTCTCTTCAGAAAGATATCTGATGATTTCCAAAGGAATATTCTGAGGCAAATAACCGGCTCTGCACCAAAGAAGACATTAGTATTAATTAGAATTTGCACAAGATACAAGATGATGCAAAAATGACTTCTTTATTTCCAAATGAAAATAGAAGGTAGAAGGCATGATAAACTAATCACATTGTTAATGACATAAAAGCCCAGCTTACAAAAACTGAAGCAGTCTCCTGCAACAGGCACACACATGTAAATACACATACTAGAATGAAAAAAGCTGTGAATCTACATCGAAGAAAGCTACACAGGGTATCCTTATTTTTCACAGATTCTAGCAATTATACAAAAAAATGAGGTACAATGCATTAACTGACTTCATATAAAAGGCAAAAAGAGAGGAACGGAGGCACAGAACATTTCTACTGGTAATTGTGAAGAAGCAGCTTTTGGTTTCACTGTTCTCCTCACTCCTTTCCCTCTCCTTCAGAACTGCCTTGTTTTGTATCCTTTGTAAGCCATTTTGGAATGAGTTATTCTATTAAACTGAAATAGAATACAATAGCAATGCTTAGGTTAAGGAAGCTTCAGCACTTTCTATATAAACTCTATTTTTTCAAGGGTTTAAAAAAATCAATCACTTGAAGTTTTGCCCCATTCTTTCACTGGCATAAAAGACATCTTCTTGCAAGGGAAAGAGTTTAGCAAGGTTTCAAGAAGGCTGTTTAAATGAATAGCTTTACAAGTAAAGTACAATATAGATTCAAGCATTTGAAAGCTGCTTTTTAAAATTCAGTCCTGGAAACATAAAGCTTTAGGATTTGTAGTCATTTTCTTTTTCAGAACAGCATTATTTCCTAACTATCCAGACCACAGAAACAAAGCTTAACCCTGTGGGTGCAAACTTTCTAGCAAAACACATTCTTCTCCTGATGCATGAGTATAACTCCCATGAGAGATCTGTATCTGTTTAAAGTGGGGATAACCATTTTGTTTTTATTAAACACTAAGTCAGAAGTTGGATTCCACAAGCATCAATTTAAAGGAGGCTACAGTCTGATATACCCTCATATACTACCTTTTCTCTTCATTGAATGTAAATGTTTTCTTTAATTTCCATCACTGTCCAGGGAAAAACATGCACAAATTATGCAAACAAAATTTATTATTATGGCAATGAACCAGGACATATACTTGGTGATAAATTCTGACCTCAACTGTAAAAGCATAAACTAAAAGCTACTAAAATCTTTGGAATAGACTGTTCTTTTTGGTACAGTCCACAGTCAGTTTCCTTGTCAGCAGCATTGCATCCATGCAAGTCACTGAACTTCACATTCCCTCCTAGAAGAATTCCACCCTGTTCTCTTACTGTTCCCATGAAAAAAAAATGAGTTCATGTAGCCATCTTCAGCAGGCTCTAGCCACTCATGTCCTTAGAACAACCCCTCTCCAGCCTGCTTCAGGCCTCCTTCGTCGCTGCTCCTTTTGCAGCACATGCTCAAGCAAGAAAAACAAGAACACTTGGGAAGTGAACAGTTCACTGAGTCACTCAAGAACTGAACAGATGTGAAATTCAAATGACGCTCCTGGAGCAGGACAGAAAAGAAAATGCAATGCATCGGAAGACAGATAAAATAAGGTAAAATGAAGGGAAAAAAAAGGTAAATGAAATACTTCATTTTTGTAGGTCTTTCTTATTACAGAAGCAGCAGAATAACTCCAAAATATGTTCTTGGTTGCAATACTTTTTAAAGATGCGGAACCAGAAGAAGACTCTGAACATTGCAGAGTTAAACATCTTGGAGATAATGTTAGCAAAGAGTTAAACTTGCTTGAAGTTGCATAAGCATAAATGGTTCCTAATGGGGTTTGTGATTATTGTTACTGATAATTTGATTGACATAAGAAAGTGTGCACAAGGAACAAAAGTAATGGCTGTGGGAAATGTGCCACTTAAGGAATAAACAGATGAACGGTTATTATAGCTGTACTAATGGACATTTAAGATCATGCTCCTGAAATTAAGTCTCTCTATGCTAAGTACAAAAGAAATCATCACTGCAAAACAAACATATTATTTCTTTTTAAGATTAACTTCTCTAGAAAGAATCATAAAAAGTTAATTCAAAGAGGTRTTACTTATTCATGGACTTTCTGCCTTCCTAATCTGTTTCAAAATTGTGTTTTGCTGCTGATGCTCCTCATCCTCTTCACAATGGAAATYGTTGCTCGCATCGCCTTACTGCTGGTAGCTTGCAAATTATTTAACCCTCTAATTCTTCCTGTCTCTCCCCTTATCCCCCACTTTTCCTTGTGCTTCCTCACAGCTATATTCCTTCTCACATAAAAATAATACAACAAAGACTAAGCTTTTCCTGTTTCCTCCCAAACTTCCTCTACTTTATGGGTCTTATCCTTGAAGGGCTTAGACACAGTATCATCAAAATCAGCTTTCCAGATACAGAGAATCAATCTCAAGAGCAAAGTTTGGATGAGTGCAAGACCTTAYGGATCACATTATTACATAAGTACCATCACACTCAGCACCTCAGGTTTTGAAGGAAAGTTGCTATTTCTGCTGAGCTCAATGTCAGACTCTGTGTCAGCAAGTGTGCTTTAAGTACAACTACTAGGCTTGGTTTCTGAGATAAAATGAGCAGAGACATATCTCAAATCTGCCTATRATGGCACATAACATGGGAGTATTTCCCTGCAGAAAACAGAAAAYTTTCTGGAGTTTTCAGTTAATATTATTCTTTATGTTCTATAAAATTTTATTCTATGAATGCCTACACAAAGCTATTRTAGTCCTATTCTTTCAAACTCAGTCACTAATCTGTGTTTATGGACCTGTTTTTCCAAAACCACTACCATCTGCCAAACGATATGCCATTAAATAGCTTCCATCAAGAGRTATGGGGATAAATAAATTCATTGTTTTACTTTTTTTGTGTGTGTAAAATGTGATGTATRAAATATATTATAAAATATTAAATGTATATATGAAAGTTCAAAAAGTTTGAGGAAGATTTACATTCATAAAAGAGTTGTTAATGGCCAGGTCAAATATTAAGGCTACTAATTTATCGCACTCATACTTGAGAAAACATGATACAAGGAGAAGGTCTCAGTCTATATCATAAAAACATAAACCATAAAAAACACATATGGATAGGAAGTTCTAAGGTCAGGGCATATCTAAAACCTGGATCACAGGTGCAGGAGCTCTGTGAATTGTCCTGGGAGTTTCCATGGCTCTCAGCTAGCAAAACACAGAAACCATCCAAATCCATAATTATGTGCTGTGTTATGTCCCAGGACTCTGTATCTTCACCAAACACAGTACCTGGTTTGTTGAGCTTTATATATAATAGTATTTTTTCAATTTATTGCTACGAGTGATYTCAGAAATCCCCTTCCCCAGAAAATACTGAATCCAGCAACATATACCAGCTCACCAATGATTTCTGAAGAGCTTGTAAGGTTCTCTATCTCTGCCTTTCAAGAATTAGGACCTTGTCTACAAAAGCTGAATTTTGCATGCAACAGAGTAGGTCAAAGACTCAGTAGTTCCACGGGACCTGTGGCAAGCACACACCACCAAGCTGCCTGAGAACTTCTAATCAAATTCACTCAGGCCATTTACGGAGCAGGAAAACACCCAAGGTGAGGAAAGAAGGCAGAATAAGGAATTTGGAATGGGTCTGTTCTTAATATCTCTGTAAATTCTGATGGCACAACAAAGAGCCGTAGAAGTGTTAAACAGAAATATTTAAAAATTATAATTACAATAATAATAAAAGCAGCAGTGATAACTTCCATATTAATGGAAAAAATGCAAAATTCCCCTGTAATATAATTGCCTGGTAAAAGTATTCAAAGGTATTACAGATACTACAGAATGTAATGTATGTTCTGTGCATACTCTACATTTGTCAGTGATTTATCACTGTCTTTTCCAACAATGTCACCTGAAGTTCAGTGACAGAAATCCCTGTTTCTCATCTGTCTTTTTAGCCATCAATCATATTGTTATTCTTAAAGTCCATCAAAGGTACCATCAGATCACTCCTGTCAAAGTCCAAGTGGACTTTTGCAGCGTAGTCATCTAAGAAGAAAACTGAAATAATGTCTGTCACTCAGGGAATAACCAATTCTGGGCTATACTGAAACCAGCTAATAAACATAAACATACCAGAAACTCTGCAATGTCTACTCAGAGGACTAGTCCCACTGTTTCTGCAGAAATGCCTCTAGCAGCCACTTGAAGATACCTACTTATCTACAACCAAAAAGGTTCTTGCAGAGGAATCTGGGGTAATTATGGCAATTATGTAGCATACAAATCAGTCTAACCAACCACTGCTGATTCAAAACCAGTGCTTAAATGCAAACTAATATTCAGGTTAAACATTCCTCAAATACAGGTTAAACAGTTCATAAATTTTCACATAGAGTCTAGAATGAAAAGTCTGGAAGGGACCTTAAGAACTCACCTATTTCCTATCCTAATCTATCCTGTCCAAGACATATTCATACAAATGTCATCTTGATAGAAATTTGCTTAATTTTTTAATAGGCCTCCTGTAATAGAGATCCTAAAATTTTGGTGCTCCTCTTTTCAGAGGCTTGATAATAAGAATATTCTAATTTTTGTCTTTCACCCAGTATTTACAGAAGATTGCTGGCAGATCCCTGTGCATGACCTAAAATGAAATGAAATATTATTCATATAACTTCAGCATAACTGAAAAAGAAAAAGGTAGGGCTGCCTCTTTATTGTATTCTGGATTAGACATTTTTGTTTGGCATCACTGATCACATAAAAGGGAGTTCAAATTCAGAAAAGAGCTTCTGTAAATCCTTTCTAATGCAGCCATACCCATACTTAGTCATAGAAAAACAGAACTGTAAAAACAAAATTTATCCAACATAATCATATTTGAGTTCCTTGGGTTTTTTATCAGTTTTATGTAATTCTCTTTATCTATCAGTTTATCAACATGTCAACCATTTTGTCAAGCACTCTTGCTTTGTGCAAGGTGAACTTCATCACATGACAGAA